GATCAGATACTGACTTTGGGTAAGCCGATAGCAACTTGAACGAAATATTGTTAGCTAGACGGATTCCGTACATTACCAAATGGATAGGTCACAAGGTTATATAAGATTTTTTCGGTGATAGAGGGTTTTCGAATATGGACAAATATTGATTGGAACAAAGATGACCGCCGAAATGGAATTAAACAAGTTGTTTATGAGATATCAGCAAAGTTCCATATGACAATCGCCACAACATATCGATTTATGAATAAAGTAAGTTTTATGGAGTCACATTAATGAAATATATGAAAATTATATAAAAATGACAAAACCAGTTATTTCTCTTCATAAATTCTAAAAAGCAAAAATTAAATTAACGAAAAAAATCTATTGTTAAAAGCACGCTTTTATTTAGCTGTTGATAAAGAGAACTAAAAGTTGAAAAATAATTTTTCCCATGCTAGTGAAGCTACAGGAAGAACCAACCACAGACCTACCAGTCCATTTAGCCCTTTAACAGCCAGTGTATCAAAGGAAAGGACAAAACAATGTCTTGCAACCATCCACAAGGGCTGGAGGTGAATTTCTATGGCCTTAGTACCCTCTCCCCTCCACACTTAATGAAAGCTTCATAAAGCTCCGCGGACCGGACAGATCTAGGCTGCCTTAAGGCCATCGGATGAATTTGGAATTGGAATAAATTAATATAACTCTCTTTCGACGAGCCCAAAGAAACCTAACTTAGGCGAAGTAATACATGCATCATGCGGATAGCCTCGATCCGCTAGGTATTGTAACGCCCTCGTAACTGGGACCTTGAGTGGCGATGGGACGGCTTGGCAGAGTCGATGTTTAGGCAACCAGTTACGCATTCGTGCGTGAGCGCTTGCGGCGATATCTAGAAATTTTTGCCGAGGCTCGAGATGTATCATCTGCCACCGCGTCCTGGAAGACGTTGGAATGGTTCTCGACTAATCCATAGAGGAATAAATACCCGACCATGTGGCGGAAGTGAGACAAAGTCGAGCAGTAGTCAGCTGGTGATGACTCACCACAGGACACGGAAACCGTTGTTCAGTGAACATGGTTGTAAAATGTCATAAATTAATAAAGTGTTATAGATTAGTGTAAAAGTAATAAATTACATTTTGGAGAGTAACAACGGTGTTTTCATTACAGTGGTGTCAGATGTTGGTTCATCACCCTATATCGACTGGTCGACTGCGTCTCACTTACGCCGCCTGGCCGGGTATTTATTTCCCTATCGACGAGTTGACTACCATTCCAATAAAATAACTCTGTTATGCTAAGTGTGTAAGATAAAGAAATGTTGATTGATTGGATTCCTTCGAGGTATATATTGTTCATTAGAAACCACTCACCTCACAAACAACCTCTTCGATTCAATTCAACACTAGTTTTTATTGGAATGCCCTCCACTTCCACCATACAAATTTTACAATCTGATCTTTAGAGCTTAACATTCAACAGTTATGTCATTTACCGAACTTATAACGCGATTTTAATTTTACATTATCGTTCTTACAGATACTGAGGCACGAGAGGTAATGAGATATCCCTAAAATTGAATAATAACTACCCCAATTAGGTCTTTTGATTCACTGGTTTATAATACAGTTTCTTCAGTTCCATTTGGGGTTCAGCTTCGTAGTCATACTGGGTACTATCACTTTGTTGGTGGTCACCATAATCTAAATTCTGGTTACTGTAGTCAGGTACAGGTGTCGGAGCAGCTACGGGCGCTACCTTGGTGTGGCCTCCCTCTCCTGCTTGACTCCTGATGCTACGGTGTTCATTATAAGGAACGTTATGGTAATTAGACAAAATGTGAGCATGTTTGTACAATAAGTACGTTTTTTTTATCTGTTAGTAGAAAAATGGCGACAAGTACGTACATAGATTAACTGCATTTCCCACGGAACGCTGCCACCAGATCATAAGGGATTCTCCCTAATGTTCGGCAAAAGTTAGACCCTCTGAGAAAAAAGGTAGCTACGAAGATGTAAAACAGCGAAATAAAACGTATCAAGTCAGTCAAACAGGCCTATACAATTACTACATAGACATGTTTTCCCCTACTGATATCATCGTCCATTTGGCAACGTGGCCCTTCCCCCATAACGCCCTCACCGCTATTTAAATCCACTCGTCAAAACGAATTGCCATATTGAATAACAATTTTATCTTTCTGGTTCTTTTTCTTTCCTCGTGGTCGCACTGGCACCTATCTCAACAAAACATCTGCAATATTAATGTGAGTTGGAAAATTGGAATAGTAAAGTCTGAACCAGCCGGTTGATCTTGTCTCACACCTGTTTGAAGAGAAAGAACTAGATGATGAATTGTCTTCTCCGCAAAAGCTAAGGGACAACTTGCAGGTTTTACGAATAACTTCTGTTTTTATAAAGTCATAAATCACATCTTTCGCGGATCGAAAACACTACCTACCCCCCCCCCCCCTCCCCCCTTTTTCGCTCTTCGAACCAAACCTACCCCTACCCATTAATGTAATGTGATTTGCGAGAATTGTTTGTGCTTGTCCTGGGGGAATTCTGCCTGACCCATCTGGCAACGCTGTCGTCGAAATCGGCAGCGTGGCAGTAATGGAACGACACTGATGGAGCAGTCAACCCAGACAAAGACGCGCGTCGAAAATATTTCTCATTCTCAATTTTAAGGGCAAATGTACGGAGAAATCTATGATATATAATAATTGTAAAAGTACAAATATTTTATTGCCAGGGTTGGAAGCTGGTAAATACACGACCGCCAAAAATTGAGATATACCCTCCCCCACCCCTAACCCTCAATATTTCATTTTTTCTATAAATTATATATTGTAGCTTTATAGTTTTGAGCTATAACTAAGTATTAGGCACCATAACCGAAATGAACACCCCTTAGATTTTTGTCTGGCGTCAATACTTTCAAAAAATAATCTTAAGTTTGAAAAAACATTGAAAAGTGTCATCACCGCCAAATGGAGGTAAACGTGCGCGATGAGGTAACTAAGAAGACGACTCATAGTTTCACAGTTCACCATATGTACTTCATTTGAGGCGGTATCTCACAATAAATTACACATTGATATTGCCACTGTTTTTCCTCTACATGGTGGTATAATCATAATTTCAGTATGACGTACTTTTCTCTTATAAACCGCATAGTAGATGTTTGCACAGGTAAATAGAGTTTTTATTTCTGATTCATACACTGTCATTGCTCGACCGTAGCTATTCCAAAAAGCTGACCTTGGAAAAGACACCATGTTTAATCGATTAGGCTACCAATTGAAAATTGCTCGGTTTTTGAGAAACGTACTTAAAAACGTTCAAATTATTTTCCCATTTATAGTCTATAACAGGCGTTATTATCACCGCCAAAATCATCACCTTTACATTCGTCGTAAAACTGAAAGCATAAATTTTATACGGGGTGTTTCAAATTCGACTGTCACCATTGGGATCTTGGAGAGAGTAAGAGATACGAAGTCAGTTGAATAAAGGTAGAGTTGCCCATTTATAGGACTAAGAAAATGGCACTTTAAAACTTTCTCAATAATTTACAGAAATAAACGAAAGAACCCGAATTTTTCTAAATTTTTTATATATTATTTTGCATTATTTGAGTTGGGATTTCAGAATAAAAAGTACATTAACATCTCTACAAGATGGCATAATTATAATCTCAAGATGCCGTTTCGTCCCTTGGGCCTCGATCATTAACTTTCTTTTTTCTTATAGGCGCCATACTGGACTTTTACACATGTTCATATAACTTTTAATTCTGATTCTAAAAATATATAAAATATATGTCATGTATTGACGTTGCCAAACCGTAGTTATTTTAAGAAAAATATTATTTTAATAGTTGACTCTTAGATTGTTCTTTATTTGATGGGATGAGACCAACTATGGCAGTTTACTTGTTTATAATACCAATCCACGTATTAATATGTACAATATCACATCATTAAAATTGGGAATAGAGACTGTCCATCTATGCCTAGTTCATAAGAACCTAATGAATGCTTGGCTGATGAAATTATGAAACAAACGACTATCTGATAAGTCCCCCTAGGGGGACTAAGTTTGACATTGTCAATTTATGTCATATTATACAGTTTTGAAGTAGGAATTAGAAACTCTATTCATAGGTGTATATGCAGAAATCCAAAATGGCATTCTCAAGAAAAAATTAAGTTGATGGTCGAGAACAAGAGGCGAAACATCTTACCTACATTGGAGAAAAAGTGGAAACATGAATGTACTTTTTATTTTGTAATCCCATCTAAGATAAAGCCAGGAAAAACCATTTTGGGAAAATTCTGTTTCACTCTATTTTCGGAGGTATGCGTAATTACGAACCCCCCATTTTCTTCATTACCAAAATACACAACTTTGTCCCCATTTAACCAAATTTGTATCTCTTACTGTTTTCGAGATCTCAATGATGAGAGTCGAATTTAATACACCCGGTATAGTGGTCTGAAAGTGCACTCCATGATGAAAAATAAACAACTTTTGTTTTTTCCTACCAGCATTTTTTAAAAAGATATAACGATTTTCTTCTGTTGCTTAGCTGACGTCCCCTGCTAGCTTTAGACGCACACAAACATAAATGCATTATTGTTAACTTTCGCATTTTTTTCACACCTGTTCAAACACTATTACTGCATGATTCCTTATTATCGATTTCAGTAGGATACAACACATACCTGTAATTACTTTTATTGCGAGAGAAATGAACAAGGACATTGTAATTTTTTAGGTAAAAGGTATTTGCCGCTGGTATGTGGGTACACCCAGTGGTATTGTAAGTAAATTAAATTAGACGGTTATAAATGATTGTTTTTTATTAAAAATAAGTAACTTAATATTGCACAAAATAATACGAACTGCAACTTTGTTCTACAAACTAACAATAACGGTAAATACATCAGCAGCGACTTAAAGTTAAATAAATATATCATATCTTGAAGTTTCAAGGTAACTTGGTAGAAAAACTCAGATAAAAAATAAAGGTACCTTTGTTCATAAAAGCCCAGTATCTATATCATATCAACATTTTTTACTATCATTTAGTAGAGGGCTAATTAGTTTTTCTAAGTATATGGTGTAGAATATCAAGTTCTGTAATGCGGCGAAAATTACCGTAAAATACACCATCAACCACGCATGGTACCACTACAGCTGATAAAACAAAAGTATCATAATTTCACTCACGTCATTTAATTATAATTATTTATAAATTTTGAGGACAAATACAAATAAACATTGGCGTTTTAGGACAGTATCGTCAGTCATTCCTACAATTGTAGGACGTCTTTATGTTTTCCACTGTTCCATGTCAGCGCTCTAGTTTGAGGTTATGTTATAAATATCAATTTACATTAAATGGTGCATTCTTTTGATTTATATCATCTGTTATACGAATATACTATATATAGTATATTCGTATACAGGGCATTAACAAAGCGCATGTTAAATCTTTAAATAGTACCTTGGAAAATTCCAATGTAAACAGTCATAATATGACATATTATGTTCATTAATAATAAGTTACCGGGTGCCAAACCTTTTTTTGGAATGTCCAAAAACGCAAAAGCTTCGAACATTCTTCGCCCGGTTTTGTTGAAATTCATGGTATTTCCGCATGTGCAAGACGTAACAATAAAAATGGAAACGTAAAGCCCCAAAGAAAGAAAATAATTCACGTCATTTTAGTTAAATATTTGTCTACAAATTTTAACAAATCCTGCTAAACGGATTGTTACGAGCTTTACAAAATAAAAAAAAATGCTCAAGGAAGTATTTTGGAAAGAAGCATTACCGGGCCAATGTTTATATGAACTCTTTTAAAGCACGCAAAGAATCATTTTCTGAATTCTAGCAGATACTTTATTAACATTGTGTAAAAATAGAAAGCAGAAATGTTTCAATACACGGTCATACAGTTATTCAACTGGACAAAAATGCTTTGACTAAATGACATTAAAAGTTGTTGTTCTCTACAGAGCTGCAGTGTTTTTTTTTCGTCCAAACATGACGAAATGTCAATACCAAAAGCACAATTCAATTTGATGCAGGCTTTAGGCAGAGCGCAGAGATCAGATACTGACTTTGGGTAAGCCGATAGCAACTTGAACGAAATATTGTTAGCTAGACGGATTCCGTACATTACCAAATGGATAGGTCACAAGGTTATATAAGATTTTTTCGGTGATAGAGGGTTTTCGAATATGGACAAATATTGATTGGAACAAAGATGACCGCCGAAATGGAATTAAACAAGTTGTTTATGAGATATCAGCAAAGTTCCATATGACAATCGCCACAACATATCGATTTATGAATAAAGTAAGTTTTATGGAGTCACATTAATGAAATATATGAAAATTATATAAAAATGACAAAACCAGTTATTTCTCTTCATAAATTCTAAAAAGCAAAAATTAAATTAACGAAAAAAATCTATTGTTAAAAGCACGCTTTTATTTAGCTGTTGATAAAGAGAACTAAAAGTTGAAAAATAATTTTTCCCATGCTAGTGAAGCTACAGGAAGAACCAACCACAGACCTACCAGTCCATTTAGCCCTTTAACAGCCAGTGTATCAAAGGAAAGGACAAAACAATGTCTTGCAACCATCCACAAGGGCTGGAGGTGAATTTCTATGGCCTTAGTACCCTCTCCCCTCCACACTTAATGAAAGCTTCATAAAGCTCCGCGGACCGGACAGATCTAGGCTGCCTTAAGGCCATCGGATGAATTTGGAATTGGAATAAATTAATATAACTCTCTTTCGACGAGCCCAAAGAAACCTAACTTAGGCGAAGTAATACATGCATCATGCGGATAGCCTCGATCCGCTAGGTATTGTAACGCCCTCGTAACTGGGACCTTGAGTGGCGATGGGACGGCTTGGCAGAGTCGATGTTTAGGCAACCAGTTACGCATTCGTGCGTGAGCGCTTGCGGCGATATCTAGAAATTTTTGCCGAGGCTCGAGATGTATCATCTGCCACCGCGTCCTGGAAGACGTTGGAATGGTTCTCGACTAATCCATAGAGGAATAAATACCCGACCATGTGGCGGAAGTGAGACAAAGTCGAGCAGTAGTCAGCTGGTGATGACTCACCACAGGACACGGAAACCGTTGTTCAGTGAACATGGTTGTAAAATGTCATAAATTAATAAAGTGTTATAGATTAGTGTAAAAGTAATAAATTACATTTTGGAGAGTAACAACGGTGTTTTCATTACAGTGGTGTCAGATGTTGGTTCATCACCCTATATCGACTGGTCGACTGCGTCTCACTTACGCCGCCTGGCCGGGTATTTATTTCCCTATCGACGAGTTGACTACCATTCCAATAAAATAACTCTGTTATGCTAAGTGTGTAAGATAAAGAAATGTTGATTGATTGGATTCCTTCGAGGTATATATTGTTCATTAGAAACCACTCACCTCACAAACAACCTCTTCGATTCAATTCAACACTAGTTTTTATTGGAATGCCCTCCACTTCCACCATACAAATTTTACAATCTGATCTTTAGAGCTTAACATTCAACAGTTATGTCATTTACCGAACTTATAACGCGATTTTAATTTTACATTATCGTTCTTACAGATACTGAGGCACGAGAGGTAATGAGATATCCCTAAAATTGAATAATAACTACCCCAATTAGGTCTTTTGATTCACTGGTTTATAATACAGTTTCTTCAGTTCCATTTGGGGTTCAGCTTCGTAGTCATACTGGGTACTATCACTTTGTTGGTGGTCACCATAATCTAAATTCTGGTTACTGTAGTCAGGTACAGGTGTCGGAGCAGCTACGGGCGCTACCTTGGTGTGGCCTCCCTCTCCTGCTTGACTCCTGATGCTACCTAAACAGGAATATTGAAAAATTTAAGCTTTATGTTAAAAAATATTACCCGTTTTACAGTCAGCAAGTACATGATAAATGTTGAGCAAACGCATGCGCAGTAACAAAACAGCTGTTCTCCCTGTCATTTTCTTGCAATTGCCGGAGACTTGCATGAAAAATAATCAGTTGGATTTTCCATCTAAGTTTTTCTGCAATTCTGGTGGAATAGTTAGTAAATAGTAACTTACACGTTACCAACGCATACAAATGTGCCTAGGCCGGTCCATTGGTCTATGTGGTTATATTTAATTGTTTACATATACCCTATTTCACGAGTATCCATCACGCTTTGACGTCTATTGAGGTGAACAGAGTGAAAAAATAAAAGTAGCTAACATAGCAAACCTAACATCAAGAAATATATTTTCTCTTACCATCTAAATCTTTGAAGATGACTTTGGTATGCTTATCTGATGGATAATTCTCATGTGTGAGCAGTCCATAATCTCGATTGTTATCGCTAGAGTACTGCTGCTGATACTCCTGTTGGTACTGTCCATGTCCACCTCCTTGTGACTCTGTACCTTGAGAATGATACCGCTGAGGCTCTTCGTACTGCTCCTGGGAGTACTGCTGCTCTTTTTCTTGAGGATAGTACTGTTCCTGTGAATATTGTTGTTCTTGATACTGAGGTTGTTCTTGGTATTGGTGTTGATGCTGCTCCTGGTACTGCGGTTGAAGATACTGCTGCGGCTCTGGGTGCCCAGTGTATTGCTGGTGCTCCTGGTACATGTACCCATGATCTGTTCTCATGAAGCTGACAGCTTTGGATGGTACGTAACTGCTAGTGACCTTTTGGATGTAGGTTGGTTTCGGTGATGCTGTGTATCTGTTTTGATGTGTCCCTACTTGTAGGCTTGCTGCGACTGGTTGTGAATAGCTGTTTGTGCCTGGCATATGAATTAAAACAATAATGACTGAAATAACGATGTATCGATAATATATCAAATATGTAATAAACATGTGATTTCAGAGGTACTGTTGGTAAAAGATTATAAGTTCTTGATTGAGGCATTGCGCAACCTCGGAGTATCTTAGAGGACACAGGTGATACCAAAGATATCTAGAATAGTGACTTCTTTCCACCATCATCCATTAACGCTAGCAGCTTTTCGAAACCAAGTACGGATATTTTGGGATGAACGAATGTTTAGAGAAATACAGCAATACTGCAAATGTATTCACATCAAAACTTATATCTAACTGTATAGATCGACCAGCCAAAGATTGCTAGGGACGAAAGGGGGAAATGCGATGAAAAAACCTTACCATTAGACGATTTTATATGGAGTCATAGGCGGAGATCGGAGAGACTTGAATTATTAATTGAATTTATATTTTATTACAACTGGTAGTATTAATATTTTTTTGCGATTCATAATGACGTGATACCAAACATACATTATAAGAAATAAATATACACAAACACTGAATATTGAGAACAAAATAAATATATTTTTTAGGCAACAAGTAATATTCCTATGTACGCATTATGATTGAACAGCAAAACAAATTATGCATTCTTCTAAAATAGAATACAACAAGTCAAAAATATCTGACTGAATAGAAAAATATAGGAAAACAAAAAGTAATTTCTTGATGAAATAACCCATAAACAACACATAGAATTAGACTTTCTACTGAGATACTAAAAGCCACAAACCAATAGTATAATAAATGAATATCTAAAAATTCTAAAAGGTAGCCAATCTAGTATAGTTTCAATCCTGATTAGAGTCATGATCACTGTCTGAGGAACTGTCATTGCTATCACTTTCACCTCCTATGTTGATTATTATTTCTTCCTGTATTTCTTGAATGAGACTGTCTTTTTCCCAATATTCATCTTCAATTTTTATAACATGTCCAATAACCTTTTGCCAGTCACTGGCACTTACTGAAGCGATGGCCTTATTAGAAATTTCATCTAGTTTTTTTATAGTAAATTCGCCGCTTGTATTATGGCTTCTAATGAAAAATTTTACTTGTGCCCAAATCATCTCTATGGGATTAAACTGACACATATAGGGTGGCGTTCGAAGTGGGGTGTGTCCGAAACTTCTTATTAAATTATCTATCTTATAATTTTTCTCATCAGATGGTGGCCTATGTAGACAAGCTATTTCATAAAGCTCCATTTTTTTAGCATTAGGATCATGCTCTATACCTTTTTTGCTCAACCACGTGATGATGTCTCTTTTTAGAGAAGATCTAGTTGGAGGCTTGTCTTCCAAAGCTGAATGGTAAGGTGCATTATCCATTATTATAATACTATTAGGAGGAATGTTAGGAAATAGTTTTTCAGTAAGCCACTTCGTGAAATTTTCTTGGTTCATTTGACCGTGATAATCACCAGTGGCACAGCCAGCCTTGAAAATGAGACAGGCTCCAGGAACAAAACCATCTTGCGAACCCGCATGAACAATTATAAGTCGTCCTGGAAATGAATAAATAGCCTCATTTTAGTGTTATTTTAAGTTTGCCAACACCTTTTTGAATCACTATGTATAAAAAACATATTTTGAGAAAAAAATACTTGCAAGGGATTATGTATTCAATTAGACAAATTAAATGAGCACTTATTAAGAATATTCCAAAATTGAGAAAAATGTATAATAAGCAAAATCGAGGTGAAAGAAACTTTATTACCTGTAGAACTTATATTGCTCAGGACACCCATAATTTCTTCGCTTTGCCAGCATTTCTTGAAAGTGAGGTCATTATCAACCCAAGTTTCGTCCAAATAAATAATATGCCTTCCTTCTTCCCGGAACTTTTTAATAGACCTAAGATACTTGTATCGCCAATGTAAAATACTGGGTCTTTCCATTAGTAATTTCCTTTTGTTGTGGCATTTACGCCAGTAAAATCCTTTTGCTTTTAAAAGCAGCCTCAACGATTCTTTACCAAATGGAAATTCCATTTCTTCCTTCAGTTTGATTAGAAGTTTACTACAAGTAGGTACCACTTTAAAATCACAGTAAAATTTTTCTATCATTCTCCGAATAATGGAAAAATCGACTCCATCAATTTTTTGGATCACAGAAGGGCGTGATCTCTTTTTTCCGGGAGAAGCTAAAGGCTGTGTGGAGGTTGCATTTTGCCTGTCTTTATCTTCTTTTCTAATTTTACTTATAGTTCGTTCACTAACACCCGTATAATATGCCGCCCTTGCATTTCTAGCTACCAGTGGATAAACGAAAGTATTGTTAGCCGCTTCTGCATCGCAAGCACGTATCACGTTTGCTATTATTTCCCTTGCCTGGCTGTGAATAACTTTCCCATGCTTGAATTCCATTATCACCACTAAACAGTAAATTATATTTTCAAAGTATTTGCCAACTGCCTACGCCTATGGGAGTAGGTTTATAAATGACCGTGCCATCGGCACGTTATTCTAGTTTCAGATAAGATAAGAGTTTTGGACCAATCAGCGACCGGATGTTTACCTGCGGCCTGGGTTTTCCAGCTACATTGCCAAATTCAGCGGAACAATTCTATATCTTAAATATGTTAATATGTATGGACCGCATTTTATGTAGAACATCTGACAACTTCGCAATTTTTTGTCCGCATTCTTTCGGCTTGCAATCTTTCGCTGGTCCAACTATATATGAAATTTATTAAAATAAAATCTCGTTAACTGGATATCGTGTTTTCTTTGTCTCCGAGTATATGGGGATATCTAGATACGCAACTGTGGAGTAAACTCATTCACTCTTATGGTGAGGCTCATGTCGTTGCTCTTGATCGGATGGGTGGTAGACTTCGTTTCCTCTTCATCCCACAATCTCAACGTGGGTGTTCTCCAGGGATCGGTCTTGGCTCCGACATTGTGCCTCTTACGACCTGCTTTCCTGTACGATCAATCCTATCCAAAGGTATGCTGACGACAGCACTCTGCATACAAGATTTCAAAGTGACAAGCCGATTTCTTCCAGTGAGCTAGAGAAACGGATACTAGTAGGAATGTCCTCTCTTGAAGGTTATCACTGCTTGGGGACCCAACAATCTGCTCCAGTTTGATGCTTTCAAAACACAGTGCTATACCTTGACCGACAAGAAGCGCCGTAGCGCTCATCCGGCTTCGATGGATGGCCGAGTTCTACCAAAGAAACGTTCATTTCGGCTGGCCGGAGTCCAGATCACCGAGAACTTGAACTGGCATGAGCACATCTCGTCAATAACGGTCGCTGGAAAAAAGCTGAGCCATTTGTTTAACCCTAAGAAGTACTTTCCTCACTCTGTACAAGGCCCAGATAAGACCTAGCATCGAGGTGTTGCCGCCCGAACTACATTATCCATGCTCGATGCTACACAGAAGATGGCGTTGTCGTCCTCATCGATGACTCTTCGGACAGTCTTGCGACCCTGTCGCACCGACGGGCTGTCGGCGATCTAGCTCTCTTCTACCGCTATGTGAACGGGCCTTGCTCCTCAGAGCTCTCCTACATGATGCCACCGCGCGATAAGCCTGCCAGACAGACCCGCCTGACTTCGGCCTTCCACCCTAACCATGTCGAACTTCATACATCCAAAGCTGGCCGATACAACCGCTCCTTTGTCCGTAGTTCTACTAACCTTAGGTAGTTCAAGAATCGGATCAACAAAGTTTCTTTATACTTCAGCCTACGTGGTTGCTTCGGTATAAGAAAAAATCTAAGAAATATCAAGCACGATAGAACTGTTGAAAACGTGTAATCGAAAGGGCTCAGGTTTGTGTGGCTTCCAGAGAGCGAGCATTTGTATCATTTTCATACAGAACTCCTCCAAGTTTTCCATAAAATATTAAGATAAAGGAAAATAGATCTATTTCATTCCATTCTGAAGACATTAGAAAATCCCTAAGAAATGCAGTAAAAGCTGTGAAAAACTCTAAAATATCAATTTCTAGGAATACTATTTGTTGAAATATCCACTGTATAGGTTATATAGGGTGATACAAACAAACAGTGTCAATATGCAGTATTTGTGACTCAAAATGTTCCTGAAATGCTTGCTCGAAAGGTTAGTATATTCATGTAGTAAGAAGATCACAACTAATATATACATACAAAACTAAAGTCGCCCAAACTGCAACCATGTCACAGAAAATGGGATGACTTGACCCCTGCAGCAGAAGTAAAATGTTTTCTATGCTATTGATTTTTTTAAGTTTTTTAAGAGAGTAATGCCATCTCGTCACAACGTCAGTAGGGTACAAGCTTATCACATCCTGTATGTAATAATATATTATTTTAGGAACTATGTTCATAAGAACTCGTATGTTACTTCCGTTTGTACTGTCTACCCTAAAAATGTTAACATTGTTTTTTTTAAATATTAAGTTTATGCGTATTTTGAGTTTATAATTTCTTCATACTAACCTTTAGATAAGTAGCTACTAACAACTCCTCCGTGAACAGGAGCACTGTATGATAGCTGTGGAGCTTGATATCCACTGGAATGAAGACCGCTACTGATAGGTTGCGGTATTCCGTTCAACAAAGCTTTGATATCCAGAGAGTTAATGATGGAAGCAAACGAATTGGATGAAGGAATGTTGGGGTACAGATGGCCTGTTGGTTCCTGGAGCTGTGCTGGCAGTATTCTCAGGATGATGACTGGTATCGGCCCAGAGTTGGTATGAGGAAACATCAGATTTTGTGGAAGGTGGCTGCTAAAGGTGCCGACGTGGCCGTTTTGGTTGATAGTGGAGAAGAGAGTCATTCCTGGCTGGATGTGAGCTATTTGTGGAGGTGTTGCTGCTGTAATGAGAAGACTGATCGAGTTTCTCTATCGTATAACACTTTTATGTAAGTATTCATGAATGACAGAATTGTGTTAATATCTTTTTTCAAAGTTTAGTATGGTCTGCCCATCAGGTGATATATGATGTCAGATTTGTATAAAGGTAAATAAATATTTGTTTTTCTTGTAACATTTATTAAATGGAATGAAGGCTCATGTGCTACCTTATTTTGAAACTCCTTATGGGTATGGGTACTTTAGTACCCTAGAATATAAAAAAACTGTCATACAACATGCCAGACTGTCAAAGTTGAGCGCTTCTAGGTACTGAATCGAATATAAATAAACAACTAATCAATCATACTATGATATATCAATCGTCAACTTTTGGTATGGTCTTTGTAAATGTTCAATAAAAATATAGGATAATTAGTTTCAAGAAAATTGACCGATTTTGATATTACAAATCTATTGTCGCGTCGACAGCGTTTTGGTGATTGCTTGTTGAGTTATAATGTCTTAATGTACAAAAAGGCTCAACTTTGAGCCATTTTGAAATCTGGTGATTTCATATTACATGGTTATAAAGTATTCATTAATGGCTTCAAAATGACTCATACCCTACCCCCATCACATCTGAAAAAATGTTCCAAAATGATGCCTAGCCGCCATCTCGAAATCTTCACCTGTGTCCTTTACGCTAAAAGATAATATTCATATATCAATTTCAATGGCCCGAATTTGATTTTGCTGACTTGAGACATTCAAAAAAAAAGTAGAAGGAGGGCATTTTTGAAAAGCACTGTATACCTCTACATGCTTTACGAAATGACAATTGAAGCTTTATGAACAGATTTGAAATGTTTGAGGTTGTACTTTTTTGGACTCTCCTATTATGAAACATCTAGTCCGTTATGACCAAGTAGTAGTTCATCTAAAAATTGTCAAATTTGCTCAGAACATGATCATTATTTTGAAATGTCCTGAGAAGCCCACCCCTCTTATGTACGCCATTGTGTAATCTGCCGACATGCGTTCCGCTATATTGAGAGGCATCATCAAGACTCGTCACCAGTTTACGCTTGTTTTTATCGAACTTTAATAAATCAAATTGGCTCAAGTTTCCTTTATTAACCTCACCTGGGCTATAACTTTGAGCAGAATGTCCAGCATGTCCACCACTCTGCTGCTTTAACAACGGTGGTCCATTGTACGGGGGTATATCATGCTGAGAATACTTGTAGATCATGAATTTTGGAGGTGGAACCTTTCCTGCATGTCCATGATATCCATTGCCTAGTGCTGAATCTATAGTTCTTTTTGACTTTTCACCACCGGCTTTTTCATCTGCTTCATCGATAATCTGGATAGCTATAATGGCAGATTTTTGGCCGCTTGTGTTCATCGAAAGAGATTTCTCCTTCGTACTTCGTTGTTTGACTTTTGAAGCTCCTTCGGTGAATGCGAGGGTTACTGAGAGGGCCTGGAACAGAATCAATATGTAGAGGGTCCGAATACGGTAAATAATGTTGATAACCATGTGTCGAAACTCTACCAAACATGGGTATAGGATTTTCGTGTGATCGAATTTAACATTGACCTTAAAGTTAATTTGTTTAATAAGACTTTAATTTGGGCATCGGAAATGGATAGAGCGGATAATTTAACGTTCAGATGAGTCCTTGACCTCCAAAGCAAGGCTCTTGATCAAGGTCAAATGTTGATGAATAACATCTAGTCGATAAAATAATCTTTCAGAACACATAATACTCAAGCATAGGCTTTGGGTTTTCGCTGGTTAAATGACGGTGATCTTGACCTTTACTTTCAATGTCATATCAAGGTCAAGTCTACTTATTTTCAAACAAGCCCCTATATTTTTGACATTAGAAATGTTTATGTTCTGACCGGACCTTGGACCTCTTGAGGTCATGGTTGCGATCAAATAATATCTAAAGCCGGAGTCTAAAAGAAATGATCTTTCATTGAAAAATAGATTAGACCTTGAAACCACCTTAAAGATCAAAGTCAAATTCAACATCCTTTAGGGAAGGAAAAATCGTAAGCCTATGATTGGATAGAATTTCTTTCATACTCGTGGTTTTCGAAATAGACTTATCAATTAAATATTAAACCTTGTAAATGACCTTTAAATGTCAAGATTGTTTTGGAGTCCAAGGACTGAAAGCAAAAATTTTCGATCTGTCCATTCCCGGTGTCAAAAATATGTGGTTTGGCTCAAAAGATAGATTCGATCTTGAAATGACTTTAAAAATCAAGATCAAAATGAAATTCAAGTTCACCGTCAGATAGCTGGGGAAACTACTTCTGAGCAGAACTTGCTTTAGACTCATGGTTTTCAAGATTATTTGCCGTATCCGGAGGCTGAGGAGGAGCATTTATTTCTAGTCATAAAATCAATATATCCAAATAGATTGGAGGCACTTATTTCAAAATTTGTTGATGGAAGTATATTTATACGCTCCCAACCCCGGTATTTCTGTGATCCTATTAGCCATATTTCCCACATCATAGATTTCTCCATGCATCTACCTTTAAAACTTGGTAGAGAAATGTTTTCGATGATCCGCGTCTCTGCTATCTAGGCTCACCGCCCGGCGCACCGATCTGGAGGACTGCTCTACCGATACTGCAGCGCACAACACCAAAAGAACTCACTGCAACAGTGCCGCGGTGGGCTTTGGCTAAGTACCGTTAGGACTGGCACGGAATGTCTATGTGCTAGTTGAACGCTCCTGTTTGACTGACTTGATCCATTTTAATTTCCTTGTATATACATGTTCGTAATTGATTTTTTTCTCGGAGGGTTTAAATTGCGCTGAACGTAATCCTTTATGAACTGATGACAGCGTTGCGTGTTGGGTCAACCTACTTGGATCCAAAAAAAAGTATATTTATTATAGAAAAAAAGAAGTCCGAAGTCGGAATAATACCGAGGCCAGCTGCGTGATAAACACCTTATCCATTACACCATCTGGGGGTTGAGTGATAGTTTCCGAAATGTCTTATATTATAACGAGAATGCCCGTCTAGATAGATGTTCATCTTAATCTGCATTTTTCTCATAATTATCCCCGCTTTGAAACTAGCAAATATACATCCATTATTAATTACATATTACACACAGCCAAAAAACTAGTATTTATAAAATGATGGTCTGGCAGCCCTGAGCTCTTGAAACATCAGCAGAAAATTAATTATTTTTCAAGAATTCAAAGACAAACAGGCAAGCAAACCTTGAGGCTTTTAAAAGTTGATCCTTAGGTGAACAGTATAAACTAACATTTGAATTTTGTAGTGATTTAAAGATACATCCCACTTAATAGTCATGGGATCCAGTAGAATGTATTTTTTATATCTATAATTGACCTGTTTCGAAAGTTGGCATAATTATGTACATTATTACGGGATAATGGAAGTAACGAATTAATTCCATTTATCGGTTACACACTGTAAAATTCCAAAGGCAGAACCAACTATTTATGCGATCCTGTATCCTATGGACCTGAAGAAATGAAAAAGTCATCCATGCAGATCGAAGACGAAACAGTTACGGTGTGTAACATCATTTGCCATAATAACCACATAATAAAACAATGGGAAAACAAAGGCCGTTATTTAATAAAGTGCCGGCAATTTCATTTACGTATAATGTACATATTTTCGTTGGCATTACGTATATTCACATTAAAAGAGTTATTAAAGCATTAAAGAATGTACATGATGTGCAGAGATTAACCTCATGCAGTAAAGACAAGAATTCATGACAGTTCTAAGATGACTACTCGTATTTAAGTGGGCCATTATTGTTCATTTATCTAATGAAAAATATTTAAAGCAGGCAACACACAGTGGGACCAAATACCAGAAAACTTGGCCTAAACATCTAATATGATAAGATGCGGTGAAAACTGTGCCCATTCGGTTTTTTCATGTAATTATTTATTGTTTATATTAATGATACTATTTTCTTGGCAATCTTTCAATTTCATGAGCTAGTTATAGCAATTGTTATAAAGAAAAAGAACTTCTTCCTGTTTCGACCATGCATGTACATGTGTACAAATGTTTTTGTCGCGTAATTCTATATAGGATGCTCAACGAGATAAATGTAATTCTATAGAAAAGGAATATTTTTATTACATCCTTCTATCAATAAATTGTAAGATGTCCTGTAGAGAGTATCTGCGGAGATGAATTACCTATATGTGAGGCGTCAAGTTGCAAAACCCGCCTTATCTATTTTTCAAAATAAATTGAAATAGTAAATAATATTAATGGTAGACCTTGAATCTTCATAAATACAGCCACAAAATTTAACAAAAGCCGCTAATTCCTATATAAAATTCGTCTTATCCGTCTTATCCGTTAATACACTATGGGCAAGAGTGTCGAGATCAGAAAGACCTAATGTACTACCAAGAATTACTATTTGAACTTAAGGCAGTCCCAGAACACTTTCAAGAAGATAATGATGAAGGTGCAAACGCAGAAGAAGAAGAAACTGATTTAAGAATTTAGATTTTTTTTTGTCATACGTTCAAACAGATTTTTATTTTTGTTTAATACCTACATATATAAGCTTTATTATTCTTATAATAACAATATGTTACCAGAGAAAACTATTTTTTTATTAAAGCATTGGTTAGTACTGTTTGTTTAATTTTATTAAAAAAGCACAAATATACAAGTTTGGAAGCAAAACCAGCAATATTCCCACCTCTCCAACAAAACTCGCCTTATTCAATTTTTTTTATTTGTTTTTTCCTTGAAAAACGGAAAAAATCTAATTATTTATCGAAAGCTTGAGATATATACTCTGTAAAGGATTGTGAAAACCATAGTATATAAAGGACAAAGTATATTACAGATGTACATATATCTTCATATATACTATACATGCTCAATCAGTAAAAGGTAATGAAGCTTTTGAGTTCTCCATGTTTCCACATTCATTGAGTCGTAAGACGATAGTTTAAGCTTTGCTCATCTTAGAAGTACTACGAGTCTGCAAAGACCTTTATTATTATTTTCTTGTTCGGTTTTTTATGAATTTTTCAGCGACAAAGTTAAATCGGAAACCGTATGCAAACTTTAATGTTGCGCCCAATATTAGCAGTTTCGGACAGTGGAATCGCATGCCTCCTGTATACGTATATCCAAATTTAAAAAAATAAGTCTTTGATTGGCACCAATATGGTTCTATATACAGTGAGTCCAAAGTATAATAACGTTAACGGGGCTCCTTCAATCACGAACATGCTGAGATAACGCGCGGGGGGGGGGTGAAAAGGAAACGAGGGTGGGCTGGGCCTAGACGGTCGTCGGCGCTACTTTAAAAGAGGAAAGGATGACTGCGGGTGCATACCAAGGTAATTTTTTATAATAACAGAGTCGTGTAAATCGTTTCTTATTTTGGTACTCAGCAAGTGATCATTTAGTATTTTTCTCCCCATGTTACTGTTCGTCGATATTGTTTTGTTGAATTGTTGTTGGTGTGATTGTTCTTGAGTGCCTTTTTTATCAAGTCTGATAATGGACAATAAAGGGTCATATGCGACCATTTTAATTACTAATGCAGTGAGTTTAATTCATGATGAGGTCAACAATAGTGTGGAGCAGTTTAACTCTATAATCGCAAAATACATTGGGGTAAGCGAATAAATTATTGCAAGAAGTGGTCATACCATGGAAGATGTGCTGCAGCTGTAGTAAGCCACAATACCCAGCGGCCTCCCAACTAACAATTATCACTCCTATTAGAGTTGTAAGAATGATTATACAGCATTCCTTAAACAGCATTGTATACTGTAAGAACATTGGCAAAATTCTCTTAGAACAGCTATACAAGCGGAATGGGCAGGTAACAGTTATAAAACAAAAGTGTAAGCCTCTTGCAGCCGCTATAGGACATTTGCGTCAGTGCAAGATTCAGTTTTTGTCAACTATACAACTGTACTGTTACGTGATTCTACTTTATTGCAACCAAACTATTTCTTATGTATTGTATAGACGAAGTGAAGAATATATAACTAACATATTACAGACATCTTGTTTAGTTACATATCGGCCATTGTGAATTTCATACACAGGTATATGATAAACTTCTACACTGTGATATAGGGCTATTGAATTACTTGCGCTGCAAATTTTATTGTGATTATCGTGCCGATTAGTTGCCCAATTTCTACGGGCCTCGTATTTGACTCATATTTTCTCAATGATCAAAAGTATGTCTAGATTTTTAAGATGGAAAACTGAACTTATCTGCGTTAAATCTTCCACAAATCCTATGTTTAGACACAATTACACTAATGTTTATCACTTTATATCTGTAATTTCGAACTGAAACATAATTATTTAATATTAAATAGAGGAATAAATGTTTGCCCGGGTGGTTGTGTACAATCATGGCATCGTCCATGTTGTCTTTAGGTTATTAGAATATTTTGGTGTTGCCTGCAGGTGTTATACAACAATTTGACAAATGCCTGAGATGAAATACCGACAGAGTCGAATGATTTACCCAGAATTTGTACCAGATCTATGTCTTCTGTTTGAACACTTGATAAAACCTGTTGCATGCGTTGTTTGTCTTAAAACATCGATTATG